AGATTTGTTTTTTCGTTACAAATAGAGCACGCGTAACAAAATTCCCATTTCCAGTACGTTTAGTACGTCCTGGAAACTGGAAAGCACAGTGCGTAACCGGTTATTCGGAAGAAGGCTTTTCTGTTTCTTTTGTCTATATATTTAGAAAAATACTGTTGCGATCCGTTCACTGAGAATCTATGCTAATGCGGTTACATTTCGAAAACAATATTTTTGTGGTCCCGCGTTCTCCTCACGGGCGGCCTTTTGCTTTTAATTTGGTTTGGTTTTAGTTTGATTATTTCACGTCGTAGTTACAAAGAAACGTTTCGGCGTGGCCCACACAATGCAAATAAATTTGAGTAAAGTGGCCGAGTGTTCTGAAGTTGCTCTGTTTGAAAAGACATTTTTAATTTTTACAATAAAATCGATGATGTGTTCACGGAGGTTTCGGTTATCGTTAGAGGAGACAAAACCATATTTTGATTGTGTTAATTGCTCCTGTCGAAATAAAATGTCATGCGTTAGCGAAATGAACACACGATGACGAGCGAGTAATAAGTTCCAGGGATTTCTTATAGTTCCTGATCTTCGGTCCTGCACTATGTTGTCAACACTTCGTCTGTTTTATATTGCGCAATCGGTCAATTCAGATGACCGTCGTGCACGTTTCCAAGGCTTGCGGATCATCATGCAAGAAGGGGTGAGAAAATACAGTAACCACATTCATTCGCTGTGGAAAGTCAATCAATTATCAAGATTCTTTCCTTAGCAACAGAGAAGGAAATCGTACTTCGTTTTCCCACCTTCTCGACCGTTTGGTTCGTGGCATCACGGATGAGAAAATAACAGTTAAAAAAAGGCACCCAATGATCGAAAGTTTCCAAATACGTCAGAAGTATTTCAGATTATTTTCTCTATGCTTAAGAAGCTTATTTGGTTAATTTGGAGCAGCCCTAAAAACTATTTATCTGTTCGGATGTCTTAGGGAAACTTTGGTAATCTCGAAAAGTTTTAACTGGCTTTCTCCTCTCATCCGAAACTGTTCGCTACCCCCATGGGTCCGGTCGGAAGTTTGAGGACATGGGGGAAGATTCTAGGGGACGTTTTGTCAGGGGCACCCAACGAGAATATAGTTCAAAACCACTTAAACATAGCATTTTCAAATGTATTTTAGTATTTAAACGGTAGATATAGGCATATTTTTATCCCCTAAAATTTTTTCATCTGTTCGGATTTCCTAGCTGAAAGTCTAGTGATCCGAAAATTATAGGGATCAAAACTTACCTTTTCGAAAATATTTGCCAGAAAATAGGCTCCCGAAAATTCTAGGTGAACTTTTTAGGGTAAAAATTAGTTAAAAATGGGCAAGTATACCATTTTTTATTTGTTCGAAAATCCTAGGAGAGGCATGCAAGCAAGAAATTTTACAACAAATGTTCGGAAAATTCTAGGTCTCAAATCGTCTTCCGAACAGATATTTTTCAGAAAATTGTCGTTGGGTGCCCCTGGTTTTGTCTTTATGCCCAAATTTTATAAAGACCTTTTTTAAACTATCATCTCTATCCGATAATTCTCAGCTTTTCTCGAGCTTTAGAAATTCTAGGCGATATTTGTTTCTTCCAACAGTCATTTTACAGAAAAAAGTCGCTAGGTGATCCTAATAAAATATTTACTGATTTTTCACTGACTGTTTTCTAGCCGCACTGCAGAATCTTGCAGAGCACATGTCTCATAACCTTTCAACTAAATAGCCTGTACCAGTCATGAGTTCCCTCTGAGTTAGAGGTTAGAATGCCTAAACAAAACTTGAGAAGCCATGGTTGCAAATCCGTCGGGGACTTTGTTCTTGTTTCCTCTTCATGGTCTCACGCCCATAGATTTTACTAAATTATCGCAAACTAATTTTTTAACTTCGTATTTGTTTGTTACCCCAGTAATTGAAAATCAGTAACCGGTGTGTTGTGCCGCAAAGTAAACATAGAGATGATGAGAGTGGGCCGTGTTAGTGTATGTAACTATGGACGAATCTTTCTTATGACGCACTTGGCCGCGGGATCCCACGCGTGTGTTTACGTAACTTCAGACAAAACATCTTGACCTGACAGCGCGGGGGCAGGCGTTAAACATGGCGTGTGATGAAGGAGTTTTGATTGTACAAATCACAAACCAGATTTGAGAGAAAAGATATTTAAAATGCGTGGTTTAGATCCTTTAGCCGCACAGCCAATAATCTAATTGTCTTGTCTACACCACCGAAATCTTACTTCATGTGATAATCAGTCATGGCCTTGATGTGCTAAGAGCCTAACAACACACACCCATACACATCCAATTTTCATGAGTAATGATTTACCAGAGGCCTAACCAATGTTGAATAAACCAACTTGAAGTTTGTCTAATAACCGCTTTAATCCGATTTTAGTCGGACAGGAAATCAGAACGTATGGATACCGTTGAAAAAAACCGAGAGATTAGAAACCATTGGCATCCGGTAGCCTCAGTTATTCTTGTGGCAGACTGTCTATTTATTTCGCATTGAGCAAAGACTGAAAAGTTTTTTGTACATGTTTATTTTGTGATTGTGATTGCGGTTATTTCTTCGCTTGCCTCTGGTCCAAGACGCTTTTGTTCTTGTGGTCTGTTTTGCGTCGGCCGGCTTCCATAAAAGCCTGTAGCACTTTTGATGCCAGATGTACAAATCATGTAAAGTAGAGGGCAACGAACGGTGCATAGAAAATTGAGAGTCCGGAAAACTTTTGATTTTATCCAGAAATCTTTGGAGACTTCGAGATAATACACGAATTCGACTTGATGTCTAAATTTTACGAGTTTCCCTCTGTATTAATTATGCACAGTTTTTCGCACTTTTAGTGTTACTAAGTCTCGATTTTTTGAGAAAGGTGTCGAACGATTCATAGTCTCTTTACCCTGGGTTCCAGAGGATATTTTTTTCTTATCGATACTGATGGTTCGCGGCGAAGTCGCGTTAACGAGGCGCAAAGCGCCGAGGAGAAAAAAATAACGTTAACGCGGCTTCAGTATCGATAAGAAAAAAATATCCTCTGGAACCCAGGGTATAGTTTCTTGGGTGATAGTCATATATAATGAAGATTATGCAAAATACTAAGATCATACTGACTTAAACCTAAACTCTAAAATAATGGTTAATCTGTTGCTGATAAAAAGTTTTTACCATCGCAACTGTTTATAATAAGTAAAATTAAAGGGTTTGAAGCACAATTGAATCGCAACATTTTGATGCAGAAGGACAAAAAGCATTGAACGATAAGATAGAAGCAAATAATAATTTCTCGTGAAGATTCCGAAGGTGCTAAAACTTCTGTAAGGACTTTATTGCCAATTAAATAGAGATTTAAGGAACCAAGAAAATGTTTCCTATTAAACAAGGGACATTAGGAAGATAGTATGAATTGGCGTCTAAAGATCGAGTAAACAATTTACAAAGAGCGACGAGAACGAGGCGAGGGAATCGCGTGCGTGGGAAGAGAATTCAAGGCGTTCAAAAGAGGCCTTCCTCTCCCCGAGTGCCTCAAATTCTTAACTGACCGTCAAAACCGTCTTCCCTGTGGTCTCGTCGGCACCCCGCTTTAAATCACTCCATGAATCCTTACAGAAAGCGAGGACTTTAAGCTATAGAACTGCCTACTCAAACTCTAAGGATTATCTCTCTCAGTTTAGCGTTGTCTAGCCAACGAACTCACGGCGCTAGCGACTCATATTTTATTTCGGTGCTAGAGCCGCGCTTTTTCAGATCCTTAAATTCAACTTTGACCCCTTTTACCTCCGCTTTGGAAAATAATTGTTGACTATACTAAGGAGAGGGGACCTCAAATCAGTTTCCGGAATAAATTTTTTTATTTTGTTCGGCTGATTCGTGTGTAAATTTTGTTCAAACATCGGAGGCACTTGTGTACCTGAGTAAGACATTCATCTGTCTTAGGAGTCAGTAAGGACGCAAACTGATCAAAATTTATCTTTACAAAGCGCGCTTTAACGCTGTTAGAATCAGAATGAAATTCAGCATTAATTTTTTCAGCTGTAGTGAATATAATGCCTGTTTCAAGAATTCACATGCTTTCCAGACAGAAAAGTTTTCCATAAAGCAAACAGAAGGAGCTGTACGATTTATTCATTTTTTTTTAAATCGGCGATATTACGGCAGGCGTTACTCTTTTTCAAGATAACAAACGTCTTCCTGGTAATTAAAAGGTGTCCATTCGATTTCATCATTACTGGCGAAACTGGTCTGTTTTTAAGTTCGAAGGTTAGTTTCTTTAAAACAACCGTCTCTGCAATTTGTCCATTGGCCACGTGCTCTTCAAATGATTTCCACCGTAAATTTGGAAAAAATAAGCAATATTACTTAGTAATATTGAAAGGGGAGAGCTCAGAACTCGATGGGAGATAATTAGGATAAATGAAATTCGTTTCATGGCAAGAATATCGCTCAGCGATAGCTGTAATTTAATTGGAAAGGATTTTTTTCTTGCGTTAAAGAAAGATGAAAATAAATGAATTTAAAACTTGCTAAGATTTCGTTTAACCGCCATGATTTCGCAAAGGTGGAAACGAATTAAATCGTTTTCTGTGTCTACTACGAAAGGTCTCGTAGTTACGAACCCTTCATTCAAACAATGTTTTTTGTCTAGCTAATCTATCAAAAGAGCAATTGATAAATAATTGATATTTACAGACTTGAAGGACCAATCAAAAGCGTTTCTTTCCACAGGCGAGTTTCAAGGCATACCAGCTAGTTCAAGAAATCACCTGTGAGACGTTAATTATGCGAGATTAATTATGATAATAAAATTTTGGGTTTCCAAATATGGGTTTGATTGTGTCAACAGCCCGACTATGATTGGTTGAAAAGACTAATTATTTGTGGTTAGGAGGTATGTCTTTCGACGGGCGAACAAAGACGGTCACAAAAATTCTATGACCTCGTCGGGGCTTTAGTCCGTCAATTTATTTCTTCCCCTCTCATTTTCTCCCGGGACATGGAGCATTCCTCTTTAGATTTAAGTATAGTTAAGAAGGAGCCGGGATTTGGCGAGCCATTTTCCCCAGAATCTGGCTTGTTCGACAACATGATGTCTGAAGACTTCCACGATACAACCTTTCATTCTATGGTTAGTAAAGTTTCATTCATTGCATAGCGTAGTAAAACTCTTTCACGTTACAACTCTTGCCATGCCGTCGATGATATTTCTGTTCACTAGCTGAGGATTTGTCTGCTCTTTAACGTAGCACCAAGCCAATGAAGACGTTCCTGTTGACTGGCTCTCAGGTTTTTTCGACGAAGTTCCTACCTGTGCTGAAACCTTGAGCTACAACAGTTTGCCGGAGTACACTTCAAGTAGTTTACCGTACACATCACTGGGGAAATCACACTATCTGAGTCTGAATGGTCTTAGTATGGACACAATGCCAAGTTTTCCTGAGGAATGCTCCAATGAGTCTCTGTATTGCTCAACGCCTTCTGACTCTACACCAGATTACAAACCCCTTTCTCCAGAGTCCACACATTCATTAGAAGCCGACGTAAAGCCAAATTTATTTAGCAAAGACGTTCTACTTGAACCTCACGAAAGTTTTTCTCCATCGATGAACCATCGACTAGAACCGCCTGAGTTACAGCTGTTTGAGCAGACCGATGGATCTAAAAGTTCGCCGGAATCACCACATTCCGAGAACGGCTCCGACCGCCTCGACAGCGAATCCGGTAGGTCACGACATTGTTTTCCTCTCTTCTGAGGTTTCAGAGTTTCATTTATTTCTCTTTTCCGTCTAAGCAGCTTATGATCACCATATAAACAACAAGACATGAGGAAGGCATTAAATTTTTATCCGGTGTTGGTAAATACTCATGTCTTTGTTTCACATGGCCAGAACTACCATTGTTTGTGTGACTTTCTGCGACAGTCGATTGAATGGGTATCGTTTCCGGAAATCGAACGAAATGTACCAACGAAATAAACGAGAGCAAACCTTTGTCGATTTCCTGCTATATGCAAGCTTACCGAAACGGATAAACATCCCTGGGAATAAATTTCTAAGACATGAGTGATTCAACAGGTAAAGTTTCATCAAAGCTTCTTCTTCTTAGAGAATTGATCTTTGTACCGTGCACTCCTGGCAGGAAAGAAAGTATCAATTTTCCGTATTAAGAATTCCGCTATCTAGAGCATCCTGTTTTTATACACGAAAACAAGTTGTCTCTGTTGGGATTATATTTTTTGGTGGCTACGGCATTAAAAGCTAGTCACAATTTCTTTAATCCAGGTTGTTTGCGAGGAATTTTTGACGGTTGACTAAAATTCCATGGGAACAATTTCGCCGGCGACCAAAAGAGTTGCGAAACTTAAAAATGAAGGAGTATTCCCTCTAACATGATGATTTTAGCGTAACAGTGCTGAAAACTTTGAGTTATTTTAATTGTGATGCCTTGACCGGTTTTCTTTTCTATACAATGAGAAGACAGTTGTTGAAATGGTTCGGGAAAAGTGTGTTTAAATCTAGACAATTCTATATATTTTTCGTTTCCAAGGTTTTGCTTTCTTCTTGTTCGTTTCTCCTTGAAATTTATGCAAGATCGAATATTTTGAACACACCATGTGTCCTTTTTGAATGTTGAGCTGAATTCTTAATATTGAATCAGCTGTGTATACTTTGCTGTTTGACAAAAATGTGAGAAACTTTATGTTTATGTATAATTTTTGAATCATTTTAAATAATTTTTTCTTCTTCTGAATTTTGTCGGAGAATTTTGTCCTGGATAATTTGTACGTGTATTTGTAAACTTTATAAATAGTTAAGTTTTCTTGTAAGTTGTACCACAGGCCGTGGACGTGTTTATAAGAACTATTAATTGTTATAATTCTTACCAGTGTACACAACACACAAGTTGGTCACTGATGGTTTTACCACATTTTTCATGTTCAAATGGTAACTCTAAAAACCAATGAAATGCTTGGAAATGTGTATTTTAGGGGTGCTTATGGGGTTACTGCTGTAAGTTCTTAACATCGCTGTCTTGCTTAAGCAAATCAGAGCAGCAGTACGGTTAGGCTGGATTTGTAAGAAACAATACACGTATAGTTTTGATTAGGTGTAGCGTTCATCAGTGGTAGTATTAGTAGTAAACTTTATTTCAACTCGGATTGAAAGAGAGTGAAAGAAAGTGAAAGCTGAAAGAGAGTTCTTGGAGTCTTAATAGGGTACGAAATTCATAAATACTATCCAAGAATCATCTTCAGGACTCAAAAATAGGCTTGTCACCAAAAATTTGAAGGCACTGTGTGGATGCAATGTTATTAGTACCATATTTTATTTGGGAATTGAACAGTCTGGAAATTCTTTTGGTTCTTTTTTTCCTTTTTGTTCTAGCCTGTTCCAGGCTCCAAGATAGTAGGGGGAGCAGATCGAGAAAAGATGTTTGAAGGGGAGCCTGTAAACTCTGCTTCCCTTGTATACCCTACGTGTATCATCTGATAGTTTAAATCGACACTACCCACCTACTATTCATTCGTATGCACTGAGGAAGAGCCTGGCATAGACTGTTTTGTTTCCTATTAAAATTGTGTGTGGAAAATCACCAGCCCTCAGCCCTTGGTGACAGCATCAGTGAAGCTTAATTCACTAAGTAGCCCTTGATGAATTTATAACATTGACCGCCTCATGATCACTTATTTTTGGACAGACTTTGTCTTCCTGTGGGTCATAACCACCTGACTGGTCGTCCCTGTTGTGAAATGTGAATAAGATTTTAAAAGACGTCTTGATAAGAGGTTGTCATTAGATTTAATTATTATTATTGTCAGTTATTTACTTAACTTAGATAGAACCTGGTCAATTTGCATGCAACAGTGCGTGTTCATCTGATTGCATTTACCTAAAGACAGCCTAAATGTTTATACTTTTTATTGTCTTTTGTGGGATCCTAACTATGGTAGTATAAGAGAGAGCTTTAGATTCAAAGACGAGGAAGCTTCACCCTGAAACTTCATTGTACTTTGCTTCACCACAAAAGTTGGTACACTTTTTTCGATTTAAGGACGTTAAGCCCTCTCCCGATAGCTAAATGATAAAATTTTCACCATTTTGATAACTTGTTATTGCCACTACAACATTCCCGCTAAAACTCGTGGTAGAATGATAATGGCTATTAGGTTTTCTTGCCAAAATGACGCTGGCTCACACGTGAGCACTACTTAGCATTGAGAAAATCCCGTTCTTGTATTTGTCATCATCTTAGAATCTAGTGGTCTCCAATGACATTATTAGTACAAGTTTTTAGTATTTCCAACATGAATGTTCCGTGCAAAGACACTCCATCATGCAATGTTGCATTGTTATAAAGGCTTAATCCTGTTGTGCAAATTGTCCACTTATGACTGTTTCCCCCTCCTTTTCTTTATTCAGCTTCTGGTGATGGGTATTTTTATCCCGCGCTGCCTATCCAATCAGAATACGCTACAATCAGAGCATGTAGAACTTACAGTAAGCATTCTTAAAAGCTAAACCTTAAAACATAACTCCATAAAGAGGCCAGGTCACACAATCTGATACAATTTTTACACTTGCCAACAGCAAGTGTAAATTGTAAAATTGGCTGCACTTGAAAGAAGTACAACCAACAGAGTGAAAAGTGATAGTCAAAACAGACTACAGGTTGTATCTCCTTTGCTCAGATTGCATAAATGTGTGATTTACAATGATGTATACACCTGTATGGGAGCTACTGCTATATCTTTGGTTGTGACTGTGGTTTTGTTATTAACAGAATTTTGTTTTGGTGGATAGCAGAAAATAGACTAAATCAACTGTGACGTAGCCTCTTACTGTGTAGTGCTTATGAATTTTTCTGTTAATTCTTCTAAAAATAAATGTCATTATCTTGTAACTTACCATGTAATTTACTATGTGACTAGAGAAACCTAAACCTTTTTTTTGAGCTGTTAATGAATTTGCATGAATTCTCTACTAAGACCTTATGATCAGCCCTTTTTCCTAGAGCTTACAGAGTGAGATGCGTAAATTTTCTCGTTAATTTTTTTTATCTGAGGTCAATTTTTCTTTTTCTTTTGTTTTTAGGTATGGTAATGTATGCTAACGAAGTTGAGACAAAGGAAAAAATAAAAATTACCTGAGATAAAAAATTAACTACAACATAAACTTGAGATACCCAGGTTTATGAAAATCTTAAATTAAATTTTGTAGAAAACAAGTAACACCACTGTGTAGCTGTACATGTACATTTCAAGCAAACCTTGGCCAATGTTCGTGTCTTTTTGCCTAAAACTATTTAAATCCTAAAGATTCTATAAACTATCAGGTTGTCTTGTTTTATTAAACCTGAAACCGCTTCCCGTTTCTTTAATGTGTTTAACTTATAAAATACTCAGGTTTATGAAATAATGAAAAAGTACTTGTTAAAAAGTGCCACTTCCTTGTAATAAACACCCGCTTGCAAGGAAGACACATGGTTCTTCCCATGAGATTTTTATGTAGGCAAATATTATATAGTAGTTTGTTGTTACATTACTGCAAAACAAGGATTTAACATCACATCATTTTGAATATGTTACTTATAAGCCGTAAAATAATTAGCACCGGTAAAACCTGTTTTTATATTTTTGGGACACATTCATTTTCTTCTTTGTTCTCTGAACAGTTTGATGTCCTTGTTTTGAAGGACAAGACGTCAGCTGTCTTATTCCTCTGTGCTTTGCATTTCACAATGTAGCACTTTTAGGGATTTATTCAAATATAGTGTGCAGGCCCGGATTGATAGTGATATCCACTGGATAGATGGCTATCCGGTAGATAACTATAAATGAAACCATTATTGCGCTATCCACTGGATAGTGACTTATCTGGTTGATAGCGCTATCCAGCTTGTGAACAACTGAGCCCTGATGTTATTTACATATATTGAATCATTGAGTAAAACTTTATCACATGGTTGACAGGACAAAAGTACTACAGTGATGGTCATGATAAATTTTGTGTTGTCCACAAAATTTTTCCTTTCTTTTCAGTGCGGGCAAATAACATGTTGGCTATAGGAATACAATCTTTTTAGTGAATTGACCCTGAATTTCAGATTGATTTTTTTTCCTTTACTCACCCTAGCATGAGATTAGTGTTGGCCTGTTGCATTGTGAAAAAGATGGAAAATATACATGTACCTGTAGTAATAATGAAAAAAAAAATGAAAAACTGTTGTTTATTTACACTATAATTTATTATTTATCTTTTCTTCCAGGTTATGACTCTGCTTCCCATTCCCCTCCATCCTCATCTAACACGCCACCACACATTTTAGAAGACAATGATATGTCCGTATCAAGTGTGAGAGAAACAACTCCACCTGTAATACAGGTAAAAGCAATAGGACCCTTGTCAAGTGAACTCCTTAAGGGAATTGTAACTTGGTAGAAAGTGTCCTGTTTACATTGTATGAGAGATGCAACCCTCTGCAAATCTCAGATCATTAATTTCATCGTTTGTACTTTTTTTCTGTAATCATCACTTCCCTTGATTAGTATGGAACATATAACTGCCCCCGTTAAAGCCTTTGCAGGTAATAAACAAGTTATCTTCAGTGATGCATACCTTATCCTTCTTTTGTGTTCTTCATTAATTTGGTCAGAATCTGTCCCAGAGTAAGATTGATTAACATATACCATTTTACTCTTGTCATTTATTTTGCTTGCAAGTACTACCTGCTTTACCTAAATGGTTGCTGGCTAACTGCATACAGAGAAATTTTAATTAAGTGAAATCATGGCAATAAATGATTTGTTGTTGTTGGTGGTGCTTTTTAGTAATTCATTTCTTTTTTTGCTTAAAGCATCACCAAGAAAAACAGCCATTTTATTTAACTGAAGAAGAAAGAAGAACTCTTGTAGCAGAAGGTTTACCTGTACCAACTGGTTTGCCTTTAACTAAGGTATGCACTAAGACGCAAGTCTTTTGGTAAAATAATTGTATCCTTTATTGTGTCTCTTTTTTCTATCTTTATTGTATGAAATTACTAAGTAGTGGCTGGTTGTTGAACTGGGTTACAATGTCAAAAAAGAAAAGAAAAAGTCATAAAGACAGTTTAGTGTTGATCATGGAATCCATCTGTTTATTAAGGTCTTTAAGGTCCTTTATTAAGCAAAAAGTACATGGTAAAAACTAAGAATACTTACATTTTGGAAACGTCAAAAGCTATTAAAAAGCTTTAAGAGTAGAAAAGAGTAGATAAGTTATAATATTCTAGCATGCAGTGATTTTGTCACCACTGCGTCCCTGACAAATAAAAATCCTCAAAGATGCAAAAGTTTTATAGCATGTGTTGAATCAGAATCATGCAAAGATTGATTAAGGGAACTGAAGTTGTTCTTAAAAGAGATCCTGTTCATGACTTGAAATTTGTGTTAAAACCTACCTTAAGTGAAAGGAGCAATGCTATAAAAATATTAGTTCTAGGACTGGAGTTTTCCTTGCAATTAAATAATCCAATATTAAATCATTGGTTTTTAGATTGGAACTCACTGTTTCTAGACTGGCACTTGTGATTGTATACGATGAGAGTCCTTGGACTTACAACTTCAAATTGTAACAGTATCACTCGATGTGAAAAGTGCAATTGGTGTGTTTGGTTTGGCATGTAAATGGCATTTATTTCTTTTTGATGACAGTTTTGTTTTTGTGGCAGGTTGAAGAAAGAGCCCTGAAAAAAGTTAGAAGAAAGATAAAGAACAAGGTATAATGATTAAAGCTTTAGTCGCTAAATCGTTGGTGTAGATAGTGGTACAGACTATTCATTCATTACATTGTTGGCAGTTCCCTGAAGGCGTGCATGAGGATTCTCTCTGTTAAGTGACATTTTGTTGTCTACAAAGGCCACAGACTTTGTACCGTGATGGGATGCCAATAACTCTTTTAGATCCAATAATAATATTGTTGTTAAATCTAATGTCCTGTAAGTCAATGCTCCCAGGTGTTGCTTATGGGATTTGTCCACTTATGAGAGCTTTGGTTAACTTATAACATTGCAAGAAGCGAGAAAGACAAGTTTGATTTACATGTATATTTTTCATTGACATCTATAATGAGAAATCTGAAGACCTGTCCACCATTCTCTTGTCACAAATTTATATTTTGTCCTCATGCTATTATTCCACCCTGCAACCTTATTTGTCAAATATACCAGCGAAAAAAAAAAAAAAAAAGAGAGAGGGAGACAAAAAAAGAAAATTATTGTCTTCTGCTTGTTTCCTTTATACGATGTGAAATCAAGGTATCTGTGACACAGCCCCTCACATATTGTTTTTTTTTTGTGGTTGTTGTCTTTGTTGCCTACTGTCTACCACTTAAAAAGGTCACAATTGAGTTTTAGCATCTGACGATCCTGATATTCTGCATCTATTTTTTTAAAATAATGTAACTTGAACTCTCTACTCTACTCAGATTTCTGCTCAAGAAAGTAGACGTAAAAAGAAAGAATACATGGAAACACTGGAAAAGAGGTAAGCTTGAAATAGTCATTCTTGTTATAAATGTTGATTTTGTACACTTAATTTGCATCCACAGTTGTGTCAGGTATACAGCATATCTTTTTTTAGTTTTAACGTAAAAATTATGTTCTTTCTTTATCTTTCAGAGTAGAAAATTGTGCAAGTGAAAATTTAGATCTTCGCAAAAAGGTGGACACTTTGGAAACTACAAACCGGTAGGTTCTGGGGCTGAAGCAGCTTATACTCTGTTCTCTGTCAATTATTGTATCATGAGTTTTCCTTTGTAAGAAATGGTGTGAGATACTTGAATTGATGATGTCCTTGAAATGATTTTCTTTAATTCAGTGCTGGACATCTGACAAAATTTCGTAAATGTCCGACTAATATTGCAGTTTGTTCAGACATAATGTTCTAGCACTTAATTGATTTAGCTCTTGTCTTAGAAGCTTCTTAACATCCCTGAGTTGATTTCAAAAACATTATGAGTTAAAAACATTAAAAGATAAACTTTGCATTGGAGTTAAAGACTCTCTGTTTTGATGAAACTTTTAAAACGTCCATGTATTCGTCTCGCTATCCGGCAAAACGAAGCAGCCTTCTTTGTTACGGAATTACTGGGCTCTAGTTTCCATCTACTGAAATCTAATTTATGCATGTGAAAGCACATGCTTTGAAAACAAAATGGCTGCCTGTTTCAATGATCTGGACGATGAAGAAAGCTTTGTAAGATGAACAAGAAAACTTTCCATGCAATATTTTCTCCGCTTTGAACGACAACCTGAAGGAAAGGCAGTGTTCAAAAGTAAATTTAGTCATTAATTGGGAGAGGTGGAAGAAAAATCTGAAAGCATGACTGTATATACTCGAATTAGCAGCACTGACAAATAAGCTTCGCATTTGAGACAAAAAAGTAACAAATGCCGTGGCCCCGTTATAATCAAAATCAAAACGTTAATTCTGTTAGTTTAATATGGAAAATAACAATAAATTATTGTAGTTAAACAACTCTTTGTCACATCCTTAAATAAGTGCACATATTTGAGACATGAAAATTTGGGTAACACGTTATGCTAATTTTTGACCTAATTAATTTCCTTTCAGAATAGAGGTCTGAAAGGTGACATGTTTTAAGGGAGAAAAATCATTTTCAGCACTGTTATTTTCTTTTTCTCTCTTTTATGTTCCTTTAGTTCCCTTATAAGTCAACTTCAAAAACTTCAATCACTTATAGCAGCCAAAGTTCCTCGTGCAGTTACAGCAAGATCAACACAAACAAGCACCTGCTTAATGGTGAGAAATATAATCTTCAATTACATTCAATAGCCTTTACAGTCAAAACATACCAAGCATCTTTTCGGCTGACTCTGCTCCAAAGTTTTCTTTTTTGCACTTACCGTGGGGTATATACTACTTATTAACTGAAAGTGAGGTCATCACATTATTATACACTGTAACATGGCTGTCCATGGGGACATCCACCATCAAGTGAAACGCAGATTGTATAGCCTTGGACACCTACATGTAGCTAGTAATGCCAGGTCATTACAAGAAAATAATGCCCAGTCATTACAAGAAAACAGCCAATCAGAGCACACATACTGTTGTAGCTATATAATAATACTGTTAATACACATTTTACTCTCTTGGTTGAATATTATTAAAAAAACCACAGTCTGTTTTTAGTCCAGTACAGTATACCAGTTTTTGTACATGTATAGTAAATTAATACTTGGCCTTGAGGCTAGGGGGAGTAAAAGAAAAAAAAAATCTCTCGAGGTGAGGGGATGAATGGTTTATTTTTTTGTTCTATTCCCTAAAGCCTCAGAGCCAAGTTTGAATTTTTGTTTTGAATTTCAGAGCTCAAAATAATTTTCGGACAGTGGCCAGACATGATGACCGGCCGAATAAATTTTTCCTTGGTCAAGTCTTTTTTCTGGCTGGTCAAAAATATTGGGAAAAAAGTCAACCTATCCTTTCGTAATTTTCTATTAATTTGGGAACATAATTGTATTTTACAAAGTTGGCTGTTTGTTCGTCTGTGTGACCGGTCAACATGACTGGTGAGTGAAGCTTTTGGCCAGTCAAATTGCCATTCAGCCCGGACATTGTCCGTTGACCAGCCATTATTTTGAGCACTGAATTGGGATCTGTTTTAATGTGGCTAAATGTAATTTAGGCGAGGTTAAACACGAGACAATGCTGGCCAGTGGTCTCCACCACTAATCGTATGTGGGGCGGTCTTGGGACTTGGTAGGGACTTAGTGATTTTACAGGGCTGTTGCAGGAGTCAATCATTTTGCTCACGTTGCTTTTGCGTGCAGTAGTTATGGTTGTTTTTTGTTTACTAGGAAATCCAACAAACGTGTCTTAACTTGTTGTACAGGTATAGCTACATTTAAAAGATCTAATAATTAGATCTTTTAAATGTAGAATAATAATAATATCAATAATATCAATTAATAATATCAATTATTGATATTATTCCTGCTGTTAATGGTATGCTTTTGTGATGCAGGTTGTGGTGCTTTGCTTTGCTGTGTTCCTGGGCAGTTGGAGCCCTCTTTCAAGTACAGGCATCAATCTTCCATCGTTAAGTGCCTCATCAAGTAAAGGCGCAGTTGATTACAGCACACCCTCAGGTAAGAAAAAAATTCCTTCATCATCAAAACGAAATGTAAACACTATAATGCAGCAGTAATAGATCATTAGGCAGTGTAAATTCATTCACTTGGTTAGAAATGAATGATCTGACAATAGAGGTTGTTAGAAAATTCCTAGATGACTTCTGAGAAAGGGCAGATTGTCCTTCAAGTTTTCTTGAACAAATTGAGCAAGGATTTGAAATTGGCTCAAGAGTTACTTGGGGCCTGTTTTCTATGCACCCTTTCGACTATAACAGTTCATGTAACTGGAACCATAAAATTTCAAACTGTGAAGTTGACTTACCTACTTCTTATAAACTTCCTGTCAACACTTAGGAAGATGACAGGATGAAAACTGACCCCGTAAGTCTTGATCACTCATAAAACTTTCTAGGTCTTTAATATTCTCCAGACCAGTATCCCTCAGCAGTCTGTTAATGTATGTAGTTGTTGGGCTTCCTCATTCGCCCTCCTTGCCAAGTGTAGGTCATGTAGGCACACATGGAGAGTGCTGTGCTGGAGAGTGAAGATAGCATTACATGCACCAATGTTTGTTATTATTTTTCCCAAGTGCACTCAATATCTTGTATCAAGTTAAAACGAGGATTATTGGAAGTCGAGTTACAATATTATTGACCTATTTAAGTTTCTAGAGTGTTATTTTTTACTTTAGTTAACTATTTTTCATTTATCTGGTTTCAGTTCGCTCCAGAGTTTTGTTGTCAGTTGTTGATGACCTGGACTCTGACGAGTTCATTGAGCCTTTTCCAGCCAATAACATGTTTGATCCAGTTGATCAGTTGATGCCATCCATGCCAACCAAGAACATGGCCGCAGAAAATCAAACAAAGAATATCATCTCCATGGAGACAGTTGCCATGGAACACAGAAAAAATGAGAGCCAGTTGGTTGCATCTGCAGCTTGAAAGACTTTCCCAGTGTTTCTAATACCAAACTCTAGTTAGTAGTAAAAATGTATTAGTATTGTAATGTGCATTCAGTATTTTTAATTTGCTGAGGTATTTGTTATCTATCAGCTCTGATATGAGTAGACAAAAAACTTGGGTGCTACACCCTCAAATTTGCATTAGAATATTGGTACAATTTTATTAGCATAACTAGAAGCGTCAAACTCGATATATGTCGGTTTTGAAAGGTGACTCAGGGCTTCAGCTATTATAAACCATCTGCCAGTAGAATTCTCAGGTTCCCCTTGAAATTGTTACCAATATTAATTACAATAGAATTATGACAAAGGGTATTTCAGTAGGGATAATAATTATTTGTAGTTAAAAAAATATTTTATATTTTATAAACGAGTTGTGTCAGGTTATGAGAGAATGAAGGACCCAAAGACTTAACACGAACTTCAAGAATATGTATAAAAATTCGCCTCCACAAATCATTTCCTGTCTCCTTGTATTTTCTCTTAACATGTACAAATGTCCTTCAAACCCAGTCACACATTTTGTAACGTATTTACCGCAATAATATTAATGCATTTTAGACTTGGTTTCCTTAACAGATAAGGTGGCTGACAACGGAGTACGACCTTGGAGCTCTGTCGTACTCACAAGGGCTCAATTTTCAATATCGAATGCTTAAATTATAATACATGTATTTATACGTATAAGTTAAGAAAAATTATAAATTCTAATTGAGTTCGAATTGTTGCGTTGATAGCCAAATGCAGTATCGCTCCAAGGTGGCCTTAACCTATCAAATTTCTTGCCGAGAACAGGGTCTTTAAACAGGTTCTTCAGAGAGTTCACAGTATATTTTTCAAGTGCGGTGTATTTCTAGCTAATAAATGGTACCTTTTGTTTAGAAACGTTTTTAGGATTAGTAGTAGTACATTAGGAAGTTAGAGTTTCGTTACTTGAAGGCGACATCAAGTAATACGAAAAATCATGTAAATAGACTGTACAAACGCGCTAGGGATTGCGTTGAACCAAAGCAGAGTTACCCAACTATTTTAAAACGGTCCTTTTTACAAGTGTAGTACAGGTTGTGTCACTAATTTTAATGGGTTTTGTATATTAATCGCTTAATACATTTGAATTCGGTCCATGAAGCTATTTGAAAAATTAAAGTAGCTTTCTAGGTGACGAAATTGTTCTGACAGGGACACAGCTGGCCCAGGCTCGGTGCACAAATTACCGAGAATTTCGATACTGTTTTGTATATTACGAACGATTTAAAGACTTTGTATAAGAAATTCAATACAGTTGTTAAAAACGTAGAAATATAGGCATGAATATAGAAAGAAATTGTACTTACGTAAACTTGAGCCTGTTGTTGCTTTTTCTGTGTAACCTGGGCTCAATTCATGGCCATTTTATACGGTTTTGCGGCTCGTTTTTTATTCGTTGTTGTTTTCCTACATAAAGCGAGGGAAGGCAGGTTACTGTGTGAAGTCTTAACTCACAATTTACTCCCGCATCAAAGAACCGCGCACTGATTCACCATGAAAGCGCCAAATCCTTTTAGGCCAAGTGAGTCTCTTATCTCTTTCCCTCGTCATGGGTATTGCGACTGTACACACAGTCACCTGCCTTGCTTCGCTTTATGTAGGGAAACAACACCGAACAAACAACGAGCCGCAAAACCGTATAAAATGGCCATGAATTGAACCCACCGGTTACACAGAAAAAGCAACAATAGGCCCAGCTTTACGTAAGTACAATTCATTTCTGTAAATTGTAAATATCTTATTATCCACTCCCCTCAGGGCTTTTCAGGGATAATTTACAACACTGTTTGGGGGACTTTGCCAGACTGCTTAAGGTGCAGTTTACAAGTAGTGAAGGAATGAGTAATGATGCTATACTCCTGCCTAAATTTCTACGTTTTCTTTGTGAAGTTAACAACTGTATTGTGAAGTTTTAACAACTGTATTGAATTTGAAAGTGAAGAATGATCATCGCAGTAAATTTTCCAATTTAAGCAATTGGAAAGAAGAAGCCTGAAAAAAAATTGAATTTCTCATACAAAGTCTTTAAATCGTTTGTAATATGCAAAACGAAACTCGCGGTAATTTATGCACCGGGCTTGGGCTGCCTGTGACAGGAACAACATCAATGTGAGTTTAGTAACTAGGATATTTTTGACGGGCCAAGTGGCTTGTTGTTTACGGATGCAAAAAGTCTCAGGAATATTACTCCTGAGCAGTGTATCGTAGAGGGAGAAGAGAACAAGTATTAAAAATGTATTTACTAACAGTGTCATCGTAACATTTTATGAGGCCAGTGTGCATTCGCAATTTTAAGAAACCGAGAAGGAAAGTGAACCAAGTTAACGTTCGCAAAGACTTCTGGGGCTTCACGTTTCGGCTCCTGTTCTCGTTTCTGGAGGGCGAATTGACAAGGCTTGCGTGCAAGCCGCGTTGTGTGTGTGTTTTAACCAGCTTTTGCTGTTCCGTTTTGTTGTTTCGTTCTGGAGCTACAGAATCTGTTCCCATTGACGTAGCTTGCAGGAACCTGCACATCAGCGTGGTGAGCTTTCGGCAAAGGGAACTTGGGAGTGGCCGAATCCCCCTGTCCTTTACGTTTCCACAAGGCAGTCAAAATGTACCAGGCACTGGGGATCACGACAAAAACGTGCAACTTGTTTTGCAACAGTGCTGCAAAATTTACGCGTTTTACCACTTCGAAACGAACCAAACCTGTCTTGCAACATATCAGGTAGTTACAGGTGGAGAAAAGTTGTTGCGGAAAGTAGAGATTAGTTGGCTGCAACAACCTGGCTGAGGAATAATAGGGAAAAAATATCAGCAGTTTTCTTTTATATTATTGGCTTAGTGCTGCCTACATGTATGCAAGAGACAATTCCCCCATAAAGGAGGATTTAAGAGGATCCACCTATTTCTCGTATGGTTTCGTGGGTTGACCGCCGTCACACGAAAGAACTTTGCAGAGGCTAAGCAAAGTACACTTCAAAGCCAAGGCTGTCATTTTAAAAACTCTTAAAATGTTCACCAATATGCTGTTGATTTACTTAGCCTTTTGAAAATTGCAAAAAACAGTTGCCAAACATAGGCGTCTAGAGCTTTCAACGAAAAGAGACTACGGAACGAAAAGAGAGAGCTCATATTTTATGAAATCCCAAGGAATTTTAGCTTGCGAGGAAGCTCTCCTATTTGGGCAAGCGAAGTGAGCCTCGCCAGAACGCTCGAGAAGGGGGCTCCTTTCCCCTGCCCCTCGAGGCTTCGCCGCTCGCTCGCGCGTTCTCGCGAGACTCGCTGCACTCGCCCAAATAGGAGAGCTTGCTCGCAGGCTAAAGGAATTTTAACGAAACCGTCTCTGAGGTTGGACCGCGGTGGGGGCTGGGAGAGCTTGAGTACTTGCCACTTACATGGGACAACCGGAAATTCCGGTTGGAAAATCAAATGGTTCGCGCCATTTCCGGTTTGGAAAGCTTCAGAAAATATGGGCTGTGATGGGATTGTTTATTCCTTTTTAGTCTATTCAGCTGATTTCATACTTTGTAGTAGGGCGTCCTCTCCCACCACGACAAATTTTGTAGTTTTACGTAGACTACGAGTAGTCCCCATTTTTCCTCAGGGATAGTGTAGCGAGCGAAACGCGAGCGCGCGTGAAAATCACCCCACGCGAGAAAGGCGAGAGGCGGTGGAGAGAGAGGCTTTCTCGCGTGGGGTAATTTTCACGCGCGCTCGCGTTTCGCTCCTTCTACTATCCCTGAGGAAAAATGGGGACTACTGGTAATCAAAGTTTCATGTTTATGCATGAGGTTTCCACCCGGGTGCTTTGTGCTGGTAAGCACCCCTTGAGTTTCATGAAAAGACATAAGAAGAGAGAAACCTGGGAGCGATGTTTTTTAAGTGTGAAAAACACCTGTCACACTATGATTATTTAATTTTCGAGTATCATTGCATTGTTACTCGCACTGGAAATCCTAATTTGTTAACCATAATTAACAACGGAAATTCAAATGTCAGATTTTGAAACTTAAATGTTTCAAAACCAACTATATAGAGGCTTTGCGAGGTAATTCTTTTTTCTAATAGCACCATTACGAAAGAGGTTACGAATCTTTTTTGAAACTTTTCCTCGAGGATTTGAACTACATTTTTCGTGACCTGGATAACTTAATTTTGAAAGAAATTCAAGCCAAATATTGGATTGCTATAAGTATCCTTACTATAATTTTTTGTTGAGATTTTCGGGGGAAGGAGGCTCAAAAAAGTTATTTTGTAATACAAAACAAAACACCAGGACTGCAGAGCTAACCGGAGAAACAATTCACTGCAGGATGTCTGGAAGATTTGTTGCTAGCAACAACGTCAGTGGTTTCCAAGGGTTTTGCTTTACTAACGAGGTTGGTGTGTTTTTAAGTAGCAAGCAAATGTCTCTGAAATGGGAAAACCAATCTATAAATGATACACAATCATGTGTTTCCACCTGCCTGTTAGTCAAAGGCGTACAGACCAAACAAATCCCCACGCTGAAAAGAAAAGGACGCAAAACTGTTTCTTTGACGATGTGGACGCCAACGAAAAGCGTTGTTGTTAAGCCACTAGACTTTGAAGTCAAGGGTACATGCTTCGAGCTGGAAAAAGACCCAGTCGCAGAAATGGATGGTTCAATTTTACAGTCGGAATTAAAGGTTCAAGAGGAAAAGAAAAACGGTTCTAGAAAGACAGAAAAATGTAGTGAGCAAGACATTTGTCCACAGGAGAGAGATGGCCGGGAAGAAGGCAACGAGGGAAAAATACTGTTAGGCCTTCTGGAATCATCACTAAACCAAAAGCTAAATCCCGAATATATAGAGATTATACCAAGCCGGTTGAACCGACAAAGTGAAATAAAATCACACAAGCTGGGCCATTTATCTCCACGGCCAATAATCAGGGACGAAATATTACCAAAGGAATTGAAATTTGGAATTCGAAATCCCAGAAAGTTGATATCGGCCTCAGCATTCAAACGCCCGGAAGAAAATCGGCCAAAAATAGCGTTTAGTTTCCACAAAGGAAGGCTTGAACCGCTGCTTCCTCGAGAAAAACCAGCAATAAATTTACACAAGGAGCTCGAGTTAGAAGAGGCTAGGGCGAGGAGAGAAACACGCTGTAATTGACACCTGTCGATGACCTGTTTTACTAAAACGGCTCTTTTTTGTAGCGTTCTTCAAATCGTAATCACTGAATAGGTATCTTGCTTAAAAACGGCTGGTTTACCTAAAAAACTATGACACACTACAATAACGTCTTCAAAAAAAAAGAAACTTTTTAATTTTTTAAAAATGTAATAACATTGTATTCTGAGCCTATAAAGTTGATTCAAGACTACTAAGAGCTCTAAACATCGTTGTCTAACAAATATTTGTACATGTAATCGGATTAGTACGTTGAACAGTGTTCCTAGAGTGCAAGTAAATCGTTAAGAGCCTTATTTACGGTAATTTATTTTCTGTACAATAAAATTGTTTTCTTAGGTGTTATACAAAGTTGATGCAAAACATCTCAAATTCTAAAAGAAACCTGGCTTTGTTTCAGAAATAAAAAGCGTTAAGAATAGAAAGGAGGGAAGTTAAATTTAACTTCTTAAGACCTTCAACATCAAACATGTAGATCTGCTATTAGTGATTCAATAAATAGAACCGTATTTCCTTGTAAAAATCCCGAAGGGTAAGTTTCTTCCCCAATAGCTTGCGAGCAAGCTCTCCTATTTGGGCAAGCGAAGCGAGCCTCGCGAGAACGCGCGAGCGGGGGGTCGAGGAAAGGAGAGCTTGCCCTGCCCCTCGCGGCTTCGCCGCTCGCTCGCGCGTTCTCGCGAGACTCGTTTCACTCCGGCGCCCAAATAGGAGAGCTTGCTCGCAGTCTACCTCCCCCAAAAATCAAGAGAAGAGATTGTGGTTTTCCAAATTTGTTTGATGTAATTGTTCAAGTAATATTTCCAAAACTTAAAGTGAGGAAGGAAATAGGGTGTGGGCAGAAAATTAACAAAGGACCGGGGGGCTTGTGGGTATCCGCACAATTGACGTAAATTGTACAGATGTCCAAAAAAAAAAAGGGACACTAGAAGGCTTGGTTACTCAGTTGTACCTGGAGAAAATAGCCGAAGATTTCACGAGTAAAAGAGAAGAGAAAATAGACTAACTACTGCCTAAAAACAGCCAGAATGGCAAGACTACCACTAAACGGATGAAAACTGTTATTTGAAGATAATCTGTTGGAATAACATTCCTTCAAAACCTAAAACTTTGAGGAACAGTCCATTGTCATGAAGACGAGAGAGATCGAAAGCACGTTTTGTTGAAGTTGGAAATATTTTGAATGAATCTTAAACAACCATTGGAATTGGCTGTCGTGTGATATGGAGAATTAT